GTCAATATAAAAAAGAAGTGGTAGGCCAACATTCTCTTCAGAAGCTCCACCTCGCAAGACTGCATCATGAGTTTAGGGATGCCTGCTCTTTAAGACTGGCCTAATGAAAACTATGATACTTAAAACTTGAGGGAGAATGGGAAAGAAAGATTTCACTGGGGTCTGACAGTAGGTGTGTAAGTTGAGTGTTGATGTCAAGATATCAAACCAACAATAGGCCATTAGTTGAAGGTGACTGAGTATTATGTTTTGCATACTCAGTGTTGCTTTGAAGGAGGTACAGAGGTGTTTATTCTGTCTTGTTGAAGAAAAACACTTTTGTTCAGTGAAAATAAAAACTATATTCTAAAATATTTATCCAAATGAATTAGATACATGACTGAAATTACTTAAATAAGTCATCCTTTTTGGGTGGAAAATTACATGTAATTGAAATGAGTAAGTTTTAACTTTTGGGTCTAAATATTTTTTATTGAGTGTACCAGAAGTCCACAACTAGATGGCGCCATAGGATCCAGTCACTCCATCAGATACCGTTCTGCAGTTCCACTAGTGATGGTGATTACTGTAACAGTTGGAAACGTTGAGTAGTTTTACACATAAACAGGGCAATTACACTCAGTGGATAAGTGACATAATCTAATATTTAATACAATATAAATACTATAATAAAGTTTAGCATGACCACCATGCCTCATAACCTCATAACCCAGAGCTACTCTTGATGGAACCATTGAACAGCTCTTCAACTTTTTTCTCCTCTAGTATAATCTTTTGATACATCTTCTATTTCCACCACTGCGTTTAATTCTTTCACACTGCCTTCATTCTGTGGCCAGTTGTTGCATCATAAGTTAAACTCTAAAATGGTCTCGGAATGACTGTAAATGTTTTTGTACCTGGAATCTGTTCCAGTTATTCCAACATGAGAAGCAAAAAAGTGTCAATCAAGCCAGCCATCATGTGGCTGAAAAATCCAAGTAACTGTCAGAAATACTGACAAAGTTAGATGTTTAGTTGCATTATTAACTATTGTTAAGAGGCTAGAATGCACAGGTGAGCTTAGCAACATCCTGGCAGACCAATGAGGACCACAGTACTGGATGACTATCTTTAGAATTCCAAAGTGTCCAGAAGAATCTTAACTGCTTAGATCCAACCAAATGCTACAACAACTCAACTGACTGCATTTCATCTTGCAGCATCTCACTACTAAAGTTTTTCAGGGTCAAACAGTGGAATGTTCTTGACTGACCCAGATAATCACCTAAACACTCAACATGTCAATTACAGAAGATAAAAATGAACCTAAAACTGAAAATGGCATTTTAGCCCAGGCAGAGCATCATGATTTGTAAGTGTGAAGAGACTTCAGACAGTCAAGAGATTTTACACCAAAGGCTACACATGACTACATGGTTTTATTTATGTTCAATTCACTCATAAAGGTCCTGATTCCTATATGATGCTCCTAATATAGATTAAGGCTGACAGTCAGCTCATTATCTCTTAGTCACTGTTTTGCTTCGCTATTGCTGAACGACAAGACACAACAACAAAAACTGTTCCAGTTACTTGCAGTGCTTAATAACCCCATTCTAAATACCCTCATGTATACTCCCATATCATGTCACAAACAAAAACTCACATGTGTACATAATACTCTCCAACATCAAGGCAAGCCATCTACAGCTGGAGGTCGAAAATTAAAGGTCATTTTCCTGCATGTGCTGACTATCAACGCACAGTTCTCTGCCAGATAAGCATGTAATCTTCCCATCAGAAGAGAAGAGACTAGCCAGACCAACAATGGCAACTGCTGGCTTGCTCATACTTGTGTAGAAAAACATTAGTGTATCAAAACATCTCAGACGTCACCACCAAAATGCAAGATATAGCACGTTTAACAGTGTGACCATAGTTCTCATTGCAGAATAGCAATACATGGTGTATCTTCTGTGTCTGTTTCTCTCCACACTGTATTTTACTGCATCTGACTGCCTGTTGTTTGTGTGTATGTGAGTCAGACTATGAGGAAGCCAGACATGTCCATTGTCGTGTTGTCAGTGGACTCTGTACCTCCACGCTGGCTTGGTGATGACAGTTGGGGCGGGGAGGGGTGCTTTTTCTACTATAGGCTGGTGCAGGGGCAGACATTCAGTGAGTCACTAGAAGTCCATAAACTTCAAATAACATCTTGGATGGTAGCATCAGTTTTTTCCTTTTCCTTAGTCTTTATAATTAACGTTACAGTCTCATTATTTGGAAAAAGCTCCCCTGTCTTTTGTATGCCATTGCATACCTTGATATACCCTTATTACATCAACAAGACACTTGCAACACACACCCCTGAATTTCCATTTCCTGTGATGCACCTGGTAAAGTCACTATAGAGAAGGGGTATAACAATAAGCTAATTTCATGACACAATATATGTTGTCATTTTGCACAAAGAAATGATGCATTTTCAATACAGAATTAGAAAATGTAAAAATACATAGAAATGGAATTTCCCAAAACTTTGTTCTCTTGTAATTCCCTCAGTTCCCAGTCCCAAAGTAACTGTCATAAGTCATTTTTTAAAAAGACATACAATAAAAGTAAAATAATCTAAACAAAATGCAAGAACTGAGCATTACAGTCCTTATAATTCCTTCTGGGTGAAATGATTGACATATTTGTGAGATGTCTTTGCAAATTAATAAGCATATATAAGATATTAGCACAGGTATAGTTCTCAAAAGAATTTTTGGGACACTCTCTGAATAAAATTTAAATCTTGTTTATTTATTATTTTTCAAGGTAAGCATTTATTATTTTGTATCCATCATAAAAGTTAAAACAACCAGAAAAAACAACCAGGTTTACTAACTGAAACTCAAAATGATCCAAATGATTAACTGAAAACTTAGGTTAGGTAAAAGTACTTTAATATTAGTACACTAACATCAATTTCTCTTTGTTTAGATCGTGTGTGTTTAATATTTTATTTAGGTCAGTATTTCTCTTCTTATAGATGACAGCTTGAAGTCTTCTAGGCATGGAGTGCATGTGTTTGTGCAACTGATGCCCAGCCAGGTTTGCTTAATTTTCTCTTTTGGATGGCCAGAGTATGGCAGGTTTTGAACGCTTCCCATCTTTTTGCAAGACTTCAGCATTTTTTTGATCAGGTTTTTATTGTATATAACAGATATCATGTGGAGCTTACATTCCTCCTGAATGCAGACAAACATTAAAACGTACACTCAAAATTACAGCCAATACAAGCGCATACACAGTCACCGTCACACCAACTGAGAAAGACAAGAATAAGATGAGCCTTACGGGCACTCGTCTAATGGGGCAATACTAAATCCTTCAAAGCTGATGGCAAGACTTCAGGATTGAAAAATTAGTATTTAGTATTTTATGCTTGATTTTGGAATTTACACTGTATCTGAACTCTTTCATCCAAAACCATTTTGTAACAAAGGTATATGTTTTGACACATTTAGATATTTAACTTGATATTCAAATTTTCTAAAGCAATATCTTTCACAATATTAATGAAATCAAGTCTGCTGTGTTAGGTGGTGGCTTTTCAGGAGTAGGATTTTAAATTTCTGGTTTGAACACGTGCATTTGGATTAGTGTCCCAACATTTGTTTTGGAGTAAAATGTGAAATTAGGTGAAAATTGTCTAGTTATTGTGCAGTTGGAACCAAAAGTATTGACTTATACATTATAATAAAGCTGAAATTTTGTACATTCGTATATAGTAAAGAACAATTTTCATATCACATTAACAAATTAAATCATTCTAAAACAACAAAATATGACAGAAGTGGTAAGTGTAATGTAGTGGATAACACCTCTGCCCTGTAGACTGGGGTTCAATCCCCACCTGGGTCAGCACCCCACACTATACAAATAAGAGTCCTTGGGCTTGTTGTTGTAGACTGGGTTCCCAAGGAGGAGATGAATACAAAAATGATTTCGGTAGTTCCACCATTTCAAAAAGCATGGCTAGTCAACCATCCAAGACCAATAGTTTAGCTGTTTTTTCCGAGTTTCTGTGACGCAAGGTCTGTGCACCTTTTTTATTTTTACGTTTGTGATTAAAACTATTCAGAATTTCATGAATTGTTTTAAATGTTTGTAAAAACCACTCCAATTACTTTCAGTACTTTTCACACTATTTATAGCATTTGATTTTCACTGTGTATTGCCTTGCAAGCCTCATATTGAAAAACATATGCCTATCATTACACCCCTACTGTAGAGTATTGCAAAGTTCTGCTCTATAGAACAGGTTTGAGCTCCAGCTGTGCCATGAGTCAACAACGGTCAGTCCTGTGTGTTGCTGTGGGTTACCAGGCCAAGATTATCGCTTAACATTCACCTCCAGGCATACTCATACACTGAAAAGATCTACTGACTTATATACACTGGGTCTTCATCCACCTGATGAGCTATGAAATGTTCTATAAAAATGCCAATTTAAACTCAGTGTCAAAGCATTAACGTTTCAACCAAAATGACCTTATTCTGGCAGTCAAATGTGTCAGCTTATCTGGAAACTGAGATGGAAAATGGATTTGGTGACATGGCTGGCTGTCTCATGTGAATGACCGCACACGTCTACACCTCCTAAGGAGAAAGTTCAGCTTTCCAACTGAACTTAAGTATTAACTGTAACAGCCCAAAGGTCATTTTCGCATTACCTGTATTGCTCTCCAATCTTATTGTTGTATCAATTGAGGAATAAAAAAAAATCTGACAAAATGTGACTTTTGTAGATTTCAGATATAAGTTTAATGACCCAGGACACACTAGACAAATTAATTACCCAAATGAGAAAGAATTATACAGTTACCAGAAATATAGGTCAAGAAATTTTTTCAAGGTTTTTTAAAAACATAATGTTCACTGGTAGATTATTCACAGTTCAGTCAGGAGCTCAGTATCAGTGTTATAGGTCCAAGCGTAACATGTGACAGCAGTAACAGCACTGAAACGTGAAAAAAAAAGAGGAGCGGCACTGACAACATGGCACTCAGTGCTGGACTTTGGGTTTTACTGTGAACTATTTCTCTGCCTATACATATATATACTGCCATACTTCGTCTAGACTGACACAAGCTTACTGGACTGAGCAAACATTCAGTGGGAAACATCTGCCAAGAGGTGAGTTACATTTAAAGTACACTGACAAAACATCGCTAGAAGTAGAATACGTAGAATGTGAGTGCTAAAGTGTATCTGCTTTCTTTTGTTCTTTGTAGTTAAGGAGATCAAAGATGAAGGCGTTCCTGGTCCTCGCCATTGTGGCATTTACAGGTAAATAAATGATCAAATGGGAATAGATAATTAACGTTAAAAGTAAGGGATTTCTTACAGTAAACAGTAACATTGTGTATGTCTCCGCTGACTTTAAATCACTAGTGACACCAGTGCTATTCACACTTATGTCCCTTGCAATAAGAAGCTAAAACTTGCCTGGTAAATCTAGAAAAAAGTTAGACATGGTGTGAAAATGTTAATACCTTAAATTTTCAAATAACTGCATTGTACGCATGTGTTGCCACTGGCTAAGAGATTTAACAGAGGCAGTGTCTGGAACTAAACACATCTATTTTCTATACTAGGCTGCCAAGGCAACCTTTTCTATGCTGATGAGCCCAAGCCACAGCTGGAGCAGCTGACTGATGCATTCTGGGACTATGTTGCCCAAGCAACACGTACTGCTGAGGACACTCTGAAGACTATAAGAGAGTCTCAGTTGGGACAGGAAGTCAAGTAAGTGAAAAGAACTGATTTATAACCATTTTTACCCTCATATTCTTTATTGTCATAAGTCATTTTTACTTATATCTCTTCTTCATTAACTCCGTAGTGCTAGAATTACGGAAAGTGCCAACGCAGCCAGTCAGTATGCTGTCACCCTCCAGAACAAAATGAGCCCCCTGGCCCAGGACATCGTGACCAAAATCACCAAGGAGGCCGAAGTCTTGAGAGAGCGCCTGGAGACAGATCTGACCGCTGTGAGGGACAAACTAGAGCCCTACGCTGAGGATCTCAAGGCCCAAATTCAGCAGAGAGTGGAGGAGCTGAGGGGGGCTGTGGCCCCATATGCTGAGTCCCTGGACTCCGAAGCCCTGAAGGCCACCGTGCTTCAGAAGACCGAGGAGCTTAGAGGAAGCCTGGAGGAGAGAGTGAAGGAGCTGCAGTCCCAGCTTGAGCCCTACACAGCAGACCTCAAAGAGAAAGTTGATGAGCACCTGCAGGAATTCCAGAAGACCGTGGCCCCCCTGGCTGAGGATCTTCAGGCCCGTGTACTCGAGAGAACCAAGATGGTCCAGCAGAGTCTGGCTCCCTACGCTGAGGATCTGAAAGAGAAACTGGATCCCTACGCCCAAAACCTGAAGGACCAGCTTGCCTCTCTTTATGAGTCCTTCACCAAGACCAGCTAAACACTCCAAAAGACCTCTAGTAATCGGACTGTTTTTCCACAAAATGAAACTGTGACACTAAAATTGTATACATATGATCAAATGTTCCATACTTTACCAAAGTGTTAACCAAAAATGTAAAAGCATTGCCCATTTTGCCAGCTTGGGAAATTGTACTAAAATCTCAAACAATAGATGCAGTGAATTTCTCCTGTAATAGGAACACTACCATCAAACTTTAATTGCTGTGTATTTATCTAGTGCTGAGGAGCTGTCTATTCTTTGTGAATGTGTTTGTAAATGTATCTTACATGTTTAAAGTGACATTGTTTGTCAGTTATTGTATTTATGCTAGAATAAAACAATTAGCATACAAAAACACTGTTTCTTAAATTATTATTCATTTTCTCTAGTTTTCTAATCAAATTCTACAAAATCACTAGGGAATGCTGAACAAAGCAAATGGAAATCTAATGTAGAAATGTAAACTTCTTAAAAAAAATAGTCTTTTTAAATGTACAATGAACAAGTAAACAAAACAAAGACAGAAAAAGTAAATATTCAACAACAGTTCATTTTCACAACAAATGATAGTCAAAAACACTGTTATCAGAGCAATCAACCACATCTGGAATAACTATCAATGTTGAAATTAACCTGTTTTCACAGAGAGTAGCACAATGTATTTGGAAATTCCCTGATTTGTTTGTATTCTAGGAAACAGTTCACTGTCAGTCAAACAACAACAGGTAACAGAAACTTCACATTACTACTCAAGGTCTCTCAGTGTGTAGGTATTCCCAGGTTGTGCAATCATCTTTAAATGCTGTGACAAGCACAAACATTTAGCTGTTTGGATCTTTGGGGTTCTTATCATCCGGGGCCGGTTATGAAAGCAAACGATTGGTGGCACGAGAGTTTTTAAAGCTAACATCATCATCCATATATACAGTATTTATGATGTTAAGATTTGGAGACATAAAATAATTCAGAGAGGCGTCTAAAAATGTGTAACAGTAAGCGCAATCAGCTTACTGCAAACTAGTGTCCAGTTTGGTATTAAAACCCAAAAGTACAAAGTTTGATAATGTAATATAGTTAACAGTCTCACTTTATTTGAACAGTATACTACAGCCCCCCTATGGATTATCTACAGGTAGTTGTACTAAGACTGTGTTAGGTTTAGGTTTAGGGTTAGGACTCTGTTTTAGAGTGAAGACAAGGGTAAGAGTTAAATTTAGGTTTTGGGCTAAGGTTAAGGTTATGGCAAGATTTTGGCTATAAAGCACCTAAAGGTAGGATCCAAATGAGATATTACCTAGTTTAATCAAGGGCTATTCTAACTGACCTAAGGTCTTGCCAGTCATTTAATGAAACCATGTCAAATTTTACAACGTTTTTTTTTTTTTTAGCTATTAACAAATTTACTGGAAGGTGTACTTTTTAAGTCAGTTCATAAAATATTTAATCCTTCAAATCTGCTAAATGTACATTTAAAGTAGCATATCTATCAAAACTATGAAACTACAACCTATTCATTTTGTCATATTGAAGTTACACAATTAGTGCAAAGTAGCTTCATGTCTAAAAACCCATTTCATTTTTGCCTGTAGTACAGTACAAATTTCTGTGCATAACAGATCCCCCAACAATGAAAAATAAAAAAATTACATAACATTTCGATAAAGGATAACAGACCTCTGGACCATTATAAAGGTTAATTTGCAATTTCAAAGTAGTTCTATTTTATGGTTAAATATCTCATGTTAAAAATATTACTCTATGATAGCATTACAGCATGTCTGTGTGATTCCTTTTGGGTTAAAACACATTTTTTTTTATTTGTGCAGTCATTTTCTGTAGCTTCAAATACTGCATGCATAAATTAATACATGAATTCATAGGTTTGACAGAGATTTAGCAATATGAGGCAAAATCCGCATTTTGCAAAAAAATAAAAAATCTGAAATTTTGAAATTTGACTCAAAAGATAAATTTTGATTAATGAAAGACTTTAAAACTCTAACAAAAGTTTCCACTAACAAATTAAACTGGGACTGCTCAGTGCAGTCATGCTGTACGTTCTCTAAATTGCATATTTAAGATGCAGTTTATAACTTGATATAGTCATAACTGATTTAAAATTTTTTTTTTTAGAAAAATGATTACGTGACCTGGAGGCACATAGGTGAGTTGGTGTGGAATAGCTCTAATTAGATTTTAGTATTAGTAAATATTAAAATATTCTTCTGTAGAGCTAGTCAGATGTCGCATGTAAAGTAGTCTATAATTTGCCTTGACAAATGAAACACTGTACTAGCTACAAAACCTTAATAAAAGAAAACATATGTTTAAAACTAATGACTGTGCTATTCCTATAGATCTAAGTTACCTGATAGGTACATACAAATTATTTTAAAGAGCTTAATAATGACCGATGTAAGAAATTTCTCTGTTGTCCAGAGAAAATGCCTCTCGGATAACCTTTTCATGACAAGAGTTCACAAATTACACAACCTACTTTGCTTTGGAATGGTGTCATTGCGTAACTGTCAGACTTGTTCCTACACTTATGTTAGGCAATTTAGCTTGATATTTTTAACCTGAAGGAATACTGAATGACCTATAACCCTGGCCAGACTGATAAAGAGCAGATAGACAAACCCTATAGGAGAGATAACCAGGCTTGAACGGTCATTCTCTGGGATTTCAAACCAAGCATTTTCTTGTTCTATATTCACTTAGTCCATTCACAGCATCTATATACAATGCAGAGTGAGCAGTTTCAATACTTAAAACAATAAAACTGACAACCAGAATACTTAGCATATTTATATTAGAGAGGTGTACCAATACTTTTCCTGGGAAAGCACATGGTCTCTTAGTTCCTTACATTCAGTTTCTTTTTCTCTACTTTTTTACACCTGCTTCAACATATGAAAGGCTAGAAAACATACTCCTACAAATAAAAACACAGTTAAAGTTAGCCAAAGCCTCTCTGTACTCTTAAACTTAGCATAACTGTTTAAAACCTATAGGTGAAAGGGTCAAACTGTCATCAAGGTCACACAGAATGCCCATCACTCCAAAGTTCAGAGCCTGGTTCTCATCTGAGCAAAAGCAGGAGCATGTTCACCATGCCTGAGCCCTGTATAGCAGTTCTACTAAACTTTTTATTAAAGACCCATTGCAAAACCAGGGCAAACCAGAGCAAAGGAGATTGAAATGTGAAATTTTAATTCTGAATTGTTTGGCAATTGATATATTACTGAGTTAATTACTCTATTAATAGCTGATTAAATACTCTATTAATCAAAAGTGTGGAATCACAACCAATTTAAATGCAGATACAAATCTTGGGGCAGCTGACTTGACAGGAAAGAAAGTCACTATAAATTATAATATATTTTTTTATTATTAAAGATTTTTTTTTTTTTTGTTCCCATAAATCCTGAAATATTAAATAAAACACCTAAAATACCTTCAGATGTTTATTATTTTATACACCCTTAAAAATAAGGGTGCCAAAAAGGATTCTTCGCACAATGTCACAGAGGAACCACTCTGGTTTCCCTAAAGAACGTTTCAGCGGATGGTTCTTTGGAGAACCTTTTTTGTAAATGAGATGTAAGAACATAAAGATCATTGTAAAGTTGAAAGAACCTCAGACTTGAAACTGTTACAGAACCTTTATATGATGTGAAGGTTCTTTAAACTGTTAAAAGGTTCTTCACCCTGACAAATCTCTCTTCAAACATTTTTTTCCAAAAGTGGGCATTGCTTAAAGAACCCTTTGTGGCACATTTTTAAGACCATATAGTTTGTAAAAAAATCAACTAACGCTGCATAAATTATTACTGAAAATGGAAACAACAATCATTAATATGATTCCAATCTTTTAAATGGCAGTGTATATTTGTCCCCACAAAGAATGTAATTAGTAGCGATAACTTAAAAAGTCACAGTAAAGCCAGCAGTACATGACAAAACTGGCAAAATGGCAAAAATTACGTACTGTTTAAAATTGTGTCTTTATGGCCAAAACAATGCAATGGGTTAAGTTTGCACAGCAAAGTGTCCTTTGGCTGCTAAACAGAACTCCAAATCACCAACAATACAGAGACCTTCCCCTGGTCCACGTAACATTGTTGCATCACTCCATGGAACAAGCCTCTAGCAATGCTGTCATCAATTTAAGCATACATACTTAAAGTTTGCTTTACTTTGTCTTTTTCTCCTTTTATAAATAATGAAACCATAAAATCATCCTAACTCTTAATAGGATGAATCACTATGAAATATCAATGTATCTACACCGATTTCTATTAAAAAGTAAAGACCTGTATATCATAAAACTGACTTTTGGCCAAACAGACATTAGTGAACCACAAAAGTTAATAATGTAATTAACATACAGTATGTGGAAGAGGACAAAGTTCTCTTATCATATATGTTAAACTTGTTAACTTTGTTAGATCAAAGTCCCAGGCTCCAGCTGTCTAGTTCAAATGATTCACCAACTGTTATCATGAACCCTCAAGATAACCAAAAAGACAGTATAATAAAATAAAAACTTGGCTAGATATTGAGATGCTGGAAGCTTATGATCAATATTTTTTTTTATAAACTAAAAGCAGTTTAAATTTCTTTTAATAAAAAAAATATTGCAGTTGCAGGCAACTGTGTACTTTTTAACTCAGGGAGGTTGTAACTTATTGCTTGAACTTTTACCTGTGTCTGCATGCTATCTATGCTTTTATTAGGCCATGATAGTCAGACGTTTATCAGAGTCCAAACTGAACTTCAGGCTCTGTGGTAAGTGAGGGTCCAATCAGGACATTATGATGTGGAGCAGCATTGACAGCAACGCACTACGTCCTGGACTTTGGGTTTCCAATACAACACACACCTCTCTACAGTATATATAACCTGACTACTCTGCTGGACTTCACACACAAACGTCTGGCAACTGACAGAATACAGTGACTGAAAGGTAAGCCAAAAGCTGAACTGTAATGCTGTTTTCTACAAATATATTCAATTACATATTTAAATTAGGAAGATATGTTCTGAAATACTTTTTTGGAACCTTACAGAATTAATACAAAGCCATGAAGGTGCTCGCAGTACTGGTGCTGGCTGTATTCACAGGTAAAAATTTCAATTTCAATTATACTGCATGTAATTTTATGCTACCTGTCATTGTGAACGAAAGTTTTGAAAAAAACAATTCATATCTACAGTACATCATAAATAATGCATGAAACCAACTGAAATCATTTTTCTTTGACTAGTCTGCCAAGCCAACCTGTTCTATGCTGATGAGCCCAAACCACAGCTGGAGCAACTGACTGATGCATTCTGGGACTATGTTGCCCAGGCAACACGCACCGCTGAGGACACACTAAAGATGATCAGAGAGTCTCAGCTGGGACAGGAAGTCAAGTAAGTGAACTGAACTGATTCATGTTTATCCTCATATTCAAAGCCACATCTTTACTGTCATCCTTACTTATATATGCTTTTCTTCTTTAACTCCAAAGTGCTAGAATTACTGAAAGTGCCAACGCAGCCAGTCAGTATGCTGTCACCCTCCAAAACCAAATGAGCCCCGTGGCCCAGGACATCATTACCAAAATCACCAATGAGGCTGAAGTTCTGAGGGAGCGCCTGGAGTCGGACCTGACTACTGTGAGAGAAAAACTAGAGCCCTATGCTGACGATCTCAAAGCCCAAATTCAGCAGAGAGTGGAGGAGCTGAGGGTAGCAGTGGCCCCATATGCTGGATCCCTGGATTCCGAGGCCCTGAAAGCCACCGTGCTTCAGAAGAGCGAGGAGCTTAGAGGAAGCCTGGAGGAGAGAGTGAAGGAGCTGCAGTCCCAGCTGGGCCCCTACACAGAAGAGCTGAGACAGAAAGTAGATCAGCACCTGCAGGAATTCCAGAAGACAGTGTCACCCCTGGCTGAGGATCTTCAGGCCCAGGTTGCCCAGAGAGCTGCACTGGTCCAGCAGAGTCTGGCTCCCTACGCTGAGGATCTGAAAGAGAAACTGGATCCCTACGCTCAAAACCTGAAGGACCAGCTTGCCTCTCTTTACGAGTCCTTCACCAAGACCAGCTAAATACTCCAAAAGAAATTTTCCACTCCAATGACTGACAGGTGCAAATGAAAATGAAAGAAGAGCTTTGCCGCCTTCACTGCATATATACCAGAACATGCCAACATTTTCACTGTCATTGTAATAGCCAGACAACCAGACTGTTTAGTGCAATTAACACAACGTTATGCGTGAAGGTGTGATGTAATGTCTGATGTAACATTTTCCATTTCTTTAATTTATGCAAAAATAAAAATAAAAATAAACTAGAAAACAGCCTGATGTTGTGATGAAAATGACATTCATTTCTGAAAGCATCAAGCAAAAAATATTCATATAAAGAAGACTTTAAGACAGCATTAGCACCAATACAGATGTATCCATAATTGATATTAAGCAACTGAAACACCACCAAAATGGGTCAAGATTGTATGAATGCATTTCAGTTATACATGGTAAACCTGAAAGGATAATAAAATGAGCTACAAAGGATTCAGTATTCTCATAAAAAGTAATTTATCAGCTCTAAGATTCAGTTTGCCCATCTTAATTACATCTTAGATATTGAGTTAAACTCCTTACAGAATTGCCTAAAAATTACAACATACAACACTACTATAAATACATCTTCATGGCCAAGTCAATCTTTTTAATACTCAGGAAGACGTGACACTTGAATTTCTTCATAGAAATCAATAATGTGACCTTCCAGGCCCTAGCTACTCAGAGTGAAATAAGCTTTGGGTAGTATAAATAATGAATGTGATTAATATAATTAACATTTCATAATTATATACTGAAATGAATGATTGTAATTTTCAAATGTATAATTTTCAGTTTCATAAGAAAGGAGTGCCAAGAGACATTAGTGTTTTGACACTTTTCATCTTTACTATTCCCAAAAGTTGTCAAATTCTTGCTGTGCTTTTGAAAAATTTTGCAATAAAGAGAGAAAACGCAGAGCTAACTGCAGATAAGTGCAGCACAAAATCTGCTCACTCACTCCTGTAAATAGCTAGGACCCTGTTTGTCTGTCATGGGCTATCCCCATTGGTATATTCCACATTAGCTTTTCATTACTGATGGGTCATCTTGCTTTGCAAACTACTATGATTTGCATTATCACCTGTATCTACCTCTAGTTTCTGGATTAATTAGGACTTTTGGTGAACTCAGTGCTCCTGTCCTTCACCTCTGCCTCTGTGGCCTCCCCTTCTTCTGCTTGTACAGCTTTAGCCTACAGTCATCTAACACGGTTGTCCCAGCTTCACCTGCTTCTGGGTCCTTGGGTCCTTGGTTTCTTCATCCTCTAGCACCATGGCACCCCTTGCCTCAGAAGAATGCTTCCTCTCCCAGGTCTTTTTGGCCTTCAGCACTTCAACACCTCCAACTGCTGAATCCACTCCACCCTGGCCTCTTCGGTCTCCAGTGCTTCAACTCTTCAGGCCATATCTGATTCTTTTCTACTGACTCTTTGTGCATAAGCATTAACAGTGTTATCGGGAGTAATGGCAGGTAATCCTGCAGCTATCCTGCCTCCAATCCTGCTGCTATTGCTTAATCTTTCCAGCACTATCTGTGCCAAAAGATATCCATGGGGTGCCATTCCATTACTGCAGACACTGTGTTGCCTACTGTCTCACAGAGAGGTAACCTGATGTCCTGGAAATGCTACACTTAGAGGAAACAGCCAAAAACAACCAGACCATTCATGTTCTAGGGAAGCAAACTGGTTCTTGCACTCTTCTCTTTGCACATTTTGTTCCTATCTGTCAGTTATGTATGGAGCAGTCACCTACACCTTCAGTCTCCATTGCTCATTCTGCTCCTCATGTCACCACCTCTGCAGGTTCCATCTCTTTGGCCCTCTATCACTAATCCTGCCCCTGTGGTCTCCATCGCTGGTCCAGTTTCTCCAACTTGTGGAATGCCAGGTCTTCTGGCCTCCACTGTCTTTCGCTACATTGGCAAGTTTGTCTTTGCCTGTTGTCTAAGTCCTAACTCTGGCCTGGCAGTGGGTTTTCTTGTTCCCTTCACTTCTTCCTTGCTTGCTTGTTGTTTTCACTGTAACAGAGTAAGAGCAACAAGTAACAGTGCCTCACTGGAGAGCTCTTCCATTCCTGATTAGTTCTCTCTTCCTCGTTTGCACTACCCTAGCACCGCATATTCATTATCTCCTGTACCACTTCTGAAGGACTCATGTGGATGGAGTAATTTATAGATTCGTCATGACTCTAGCTTATGCCATTGCCTATGTTCTGGACTATAATGTGGGGTTGCCTGTGAATACTTTGTCTGTGTGTGTTTTGACCAGAGGGAATCCCTTGTCTCCTAGCCCCTCAGAAAAAGCCTAAAAGTTTCTCAGAACTAAAAAAAAATGATTTTGTCCATAATGTATTATTTTATCTGTAACTTTTAGGGACTTTCATTTAGTAGAATCATAATGTTGTTGTATTTAATCTCTGCAAGCATAAAATGAATTCATGAACTAGAGTTTCCTATCTTGATTTTCTTTCTGCAAATACAAGGTCAATAAGTGGATAAATACATAATTACAAGCCAGCTAATCCATTGGATAGGTCTTTAGCAGCTGTACAACAGGCACTGACAGTGGAATCATTAGTGGGACTAATTTTGTGAGGAAAAACACTCATGGCCAGTGGTCACCAACCCTGTTCCTGAAGATCTACCTTCCTGCAGAGTCTAGTTCCAACCATCATAGTATTAGGGTAAAAGAGGGGCAGCATGTTAGATGCAAGGTGGAACTAAATTCCGCAGGATAGCAGATCTCCAGGAGGAGGGAGACCTCTGCCCTTGGCCTCATAGAAATATGTCACTAACTGCGAACACAAGTGGTAGCCTAACCATTACATATGTGTCAGCTGTAAGACACTAAAATTAGAAGAAATTGCTATATGCCAGAGGTTAACGTGTGTCTGTCCAAACTCAAGCAAAGGCAAGCAATTCATACTCTTAAATACTCACACTCTCTCACACACAAACATATTAAGAAGAATATGCTTTTGTTCAACTTTTCCTGTTTCATCTTTGAAGTTTTTCCTCATTTTTTCCTCATGCTTTAATGCGTAATAAACTCTTCCACTTGAAGTTCATGTGTACATTTTTTACAACTTACTAGATCATGTTCTTACTAAATCATGCTCTGTTCTGACCTCTGTTGCCCATTATGATCCCATAAAGGAACTTTATCTTCTTTAAGATGACTGAACTCACTGTAAGCTATCAGTCTCCAGAATTTACTTACAATCCTACGACATCTCAACTCATTTCTATGTGCTGCGTATGCCCTCTAGTGATAAGCTGTAGTGAAAATGGTCTGTATGAAGACCATGCTTACTTTGGTACTAGCTAGATCCAAATAATTACAGATGTCCATACTGTGATAATGTAAAATATACATGGTGCGGCAGGTATCCTCACCAGCTCTTACCTACAATAACAACTTGAGGTTTAGGAGAGAATTACCAGTGAATAAGTTCAACATTTAAACAAACACACACAGTCAGTACCTTGCAATCCAGGACAACCACAAACAACCACAAAAACACACACTTATACTGCACAGCTGCCAAAGGCTGCATGTTAAGAACTGTTCCCACATGTCTATCAATGTACGTGTCCCTCCTCTTCTACACACTGAGAATTGCCCACACACTCCCATCAGCACGCAAACAGCTCTCACCCATAGCACAAAGCAGTTATAAAGGGAAGGCATCATAACATCTTAATCATGGAAGGATTAAGGATAATTTAGGTATGCTGGTTTCCCTACAGTTTGTCTCTAAAAACTTTCTAACTTTCCAAAGCAGTAACACAATTTGTTGAGTTGCTTTACTTTATTATCAATTCTGGTCAATAAAAGTGCATTTCTGTAATTGCTAAATTTGTGATGACACTTTGGCTGCTGGTGTCCTACTCTGGACACTAAGGCTGCTGCTTGCACTTCTGTTCTGAGTCACTAAGACCTGAACAGGACAAAAGTCATGATGATGTCCTAAATACCCCTGAGAGTTCTATCATGCAAAAAGAGAGTGATGATTAAGATTCAGATGACTGCTCTCTCTGATACAAAACAGCTGAGAGCTCTTTGACCTGAATTGCCTAATTGAAGTGAAAACACTGACTAATGCAAAAGGACAGCAGAAAGCTTCCCTATCTGTCACAACTAATGGTTGAATCATAGACCATCAACCAGAGCACAAACAGAACAGAAGCTGGGGTTACTACAGTTCATATTCCCTCGGTTCTGTATGTTGTTTTTATGTTTAATTTGTTTATTAAGAAGCATGGTGTAGTTATCGTAGAACACATCAACTTGCTTCAAAATCTCAGATTATAATTTAAAAAAAGGACAACATCCACAAACAGCTGACACCCCCACCTTCCCAGCTGCTGTGTGTAGCCAACAGAACCCTTTTATAGTCAGTTGTCTTCCAAGTAAGAAATAAAAGGATACCAAATTTTCTCAAATATGGCAAGATAGTCCTCTAAAATATATAGTATTCTCTTCAAGTGATTCCTGTTTTTTCCAAAAGGTAAAAATAACTTTTTTTGGCAACATGCAATTTTGCCAGTCCCACTTAGGTCCTCTTAATGATTAATACTGGATCAAAGGCAAACTGCACTTTCAGAATTTTTAGACAACATTCAAAAAACTTCATTCCAATAAGTGTCTAGTTTGGGACATCAAACGTAGCTGTGTATCTTCTTTGATTTTGTACCTTGTGTTTTGTACAAATCTATTTATATTTGCACTAAAGCCACTTTTCCACTGCACGGTACTGGCTTAACTCAACTCGACTTGACCTGCTTTTGGTATGTATTACCCTCTCAGTGTAGCTGGTCATCATAGTGATGTCAAACGAAACTGCTGAGACCTAAAGGAGACAGATTTTGTTCAGAAGAGCCTGATGGCAGCAAGACAGAAGACAGATGGCAAAAAAAGAAGAGTTTGGGAAATACTACATCAGCTTCTGGTATGCTAGCCTGGTAGCTAATGTTAGCGTATGTGTTAAGTGATCTCTGATCAATCAGTAATCTGTTGCGTTTTTACTTCACCTTTTAGTATCACCTCAGTTTGCTTGGAACCTCAACAGAGATGGTACCAAGAAAGGTACCAGGTACCAGGTACCCACTTTTGCCTAATGGAAAACCAGAAAAGGCGAGTTGAGTCAAGTTGAGCAGTGGAAAAGCTTAATTATGGTTTTCATCACTATTCACACTGTCTGCAACAGTTGGTGATAATACAAGCAAACACCTTA